TCAATATTACTCACCCTATTACACCTACAGTCTAACATGGATTGTAGAGAGAACGCAGACACCTTTGATGAATGACAACCAGCTAGCTAATCAGGCTTTTCATGTCTTCCACTTTAGATGCACATGTCTCACTGGCAGTCATGAAGGAGGACGAATAGAAGTGCATCTGAGCAGTACACACGTCGTTTGATCGATAGCAAGTCGGATATCACATCTACTAAACCAGAGATGATGTATGACAAACTAGTCTTCCGTATCCGCACAAAAGTGCTTTACCTCCTCATCTCTAGCTCTACTCTAATACATCTTATGTACAGCATCTTAATACAATCCAATAACGTTTTGCCGAACATGTGGTGATATGTTAGTTAACAATAATGTCAGTAACAAAATGTCACCGGTTCTGAGTGATAATTAACGAGAGAGATTAATGCATTGGGCGTGCGATTAGGCAGGTTCATCATCGTATTTGCAGACATCTTGCATGGCTAAGCAAATTACAAATAAGATCTATTCGTAGCTCTGTTTAAGCACACTTTGTAGATAGTGAGCATAAAATTGATGTTGATACAGCATTTAAAGTTATTTATCACATTCCAAGTAGCCTTGAATTTGCTCTCCGGGTTCATCGTCTCCTTACAACTGAAGCCAAGCATATGTGTTGAGTAGACATTCGTACAGCCACTTTCCTAACCAAGGTCATCATTCTATAAATGTATAAACCGGACCACTTCGTCCTCCCGACAAGCGCCTTTTAAAAAATCATAATTGTCCAAATTATTTTCTTATTTTTCTTCTGACTACTTACAAGTTATCATCGTCCGGATTATTTTATTTCTCTCTAATCACCTATTACGTAATCAACCTGAACACTCATGAATTCCTTAATTACTCTTCATTGTTGCAAAATTATGCATTATAGGGTCCTCTTTTTGTAACCATTTCCGCCCTTTAAATGTGTGCAATAATTTTTCCTCGTTAATTATCACCTCCCGCCAAGAAATGTTGTTCCTGACTAATTATTGTTAAGAAACATATTGACATTTGATTGGTAAAATATTGTGTATTGTATTAAAACTGCTGCTGGTGTATATTAGAGTGTGGCCATCGTTGAGGATTGAATTGAAAAGTGAATATTTTTTCGCTCAATCCTTTTACTTTCTAAGTGTCTAAATGGAGATTTTCTCCATTATGCATAAGATTTTATTTTGATATAAATCACACAGTGTTGTACAGTAATATTTACTGAGCACAATTTCGTATTCCTCATAATCATATCAAGTCACTCACTCACACAACTTTTTGCTTTAATTATATACATGAGTAGAATTGATTAGACATTTGAATAAAATCAGTATAGGATAAAATACATTCAGAAATTCAAGTGTTGGTTTACTTTACTTTTTACTTTACTTCGGCTATCTCCTACGGGAGGATGAGCCGGCTTCATGAACGTCTCGAATCATCGCTGCCCAGGCGCGGCAATTTGTAAGAGAGTTCATGAAGTGTTGGTTTGTAGGGATTTGATTGGTTTCAGGATTTCATCATGAGCTGACATTAGTTAGAGAACCATTGGAAAATCTGGGAGTACTGGACAGCTGTTTCGTCCTAGTTTGGGACTCTTCAGCAGTACGCACCCACCGGGATTCGAACCCAGGACCTCCCGGTTACAAGGCGAGCTCGTATTCCATTACGCCACTGGGACCCGATCCAATGGTCCTTGAATTCTAACTTCTGCCAGAAATAATATTAGCGTTATCAATCAAATACAATTAGATGGGAAATAAGACGAGTGTTTTTATAGTCAAAATAAGTAACTTGTCAGAATGTCATAGTGTGAATTGATTACATTTATTATCCTCTGATTTGATTGCTGTTAATAATGTCTTCCATATCTCTGGTATTCATGTGGAGCCATATCTGTTGCATGTGTTGAGTGTAGACTCGATGATCAAGGATTCAGTAATCAACCTTTACTTTTACCTACCTATATTACTTCTTAGAATACTGACTCTGTCCTATCCGCTTCTGTGGTTGTGTGTTAATGCATGCAGTGATATTGCTGAGTTTTTTTATAAGTTATTTATATTCATGGGATCAGTCATTCTAACCTTAGCTAAGTTCCTATGTTCACACAATCTGACTAGCCCCAGTCTACTGGTCTGATTGAATTACGTAGTTGACTTAACTCACAGTCATTGGAAGGTATTTTGTAAATTATATTATTTCGTTTAATTGGGTCAAATGGTTCCTTTAACCTACAGAGCTTGTTCTACTCAAGTGAGTTTGTACGTTTAAATGACACTCTAATTCCTGCTTTACTAAGAATCCTGCGTAGGATCTCAGAAGTCTCCTCCTTATATGGTAAAACTACTGTAGATCCCTTATATTCTCTATTATGTTATCATTATTAGTTTCCACATTATTTTCGTCTTGACCTTTTCTGATCTTCCTAGTGAATTTTAGAGGACAGTTATTTAACACCAACCAGCAATTCTTCTATTGTTTCATTTCGTCATTCAGGTTTTTTGATGTACTACTCAGTTTTCTATAGTTTGGTTTGAAAGGGTTAGTAATGTTTTTACGAGTTGATCACGGATTGATATCAGTTAGAGGACTATTGAAAACCAGGGAGTGCTGGACAGCTGTTTCATCCTAGTTTGGGAATCATCGCCAGTACGCACCCACTGGGATTCGAGCCCAGGACTTTCTGGTTACAAGGCAACAAATATATATTGAAAAGAATACAAAACAACACGAATCAATTCTAAAATAAGATTGGGAATGAAACAGTAAACTCTATGTACAAAAACTAATAATAATAACAATACTAAGCATTACAATATACAATCCACCGGTATAGGCAGTGAAAAGTTATCACACGTTTATTCTCCACCCCTCTTTCCTCGCCCCCAGGCAAAACAGGGGGCAGATATCATCTACACGATTTATTGTTGTATGGAAAAAAAGGGAGGGGGTTCTCTTTTCTTTTCAGTGGAGAAGAAATGCAATCACAATCATCACTGTTGTTTGAACCAATCAAAAGCGATTAATGTGTATTCATATACAAGAAATGTTATTCCACAGGCTGGTGTACATCGAAGAATGTGCGGTACAAGTCCTTTGTAAAATCCATGAACACCTTCACCTCTGAAAAAAAAAAGAATAAGAGGAGTTTTTCTTTACATGAAAATTCTTTTTACCAATCAACAAGTGGTTATTATAGTTGGTCAGTTTTAGATATACAGGGTGGGGGGAGGCGAATGAAATTAAGAGATTAAAAGACACTAAAAGAGGAAATCGGTAATGTTCGTGATCTACCAAGTTTTTCTTTTTATTCCTTTACGTTTCCCGTGGAAAATAGGGGGCTTCACACTACAGACCTGAAGTTTCAATAGTAGTGGTGTTTATTTTTAGTGGTATGGGGTTGTTAGTTTCATGCCCAACCTTCCCTCTTTGCCAGTCCTACTGCTGGCTTAGCGAGGTAAAGGGGTGAGTCAGCCGGGGTCGAACCCAGGGCCACCTGCACGGCTGGCGAACATTCTACAGCTGTGCCACCGACGCACAGATTTACTAAGTAGAAACGAATATCAGACAAATTCTTGAACTCACAAAGTAAAAAGTCGAAGGTGCTACTCACCGCCTCAGTGTTCTTGCGGTTGTCGTCTGGGTGGCCGGAGCAGATTACTAACTCTTCGTTTGACAGTGTCTATAGTTCACATGCATTCTATCTGCACTCACAGATTCCCAGCAGTTCCATGCCGTATTTTGTCATTTCTTTTGCTACCGTGGCAGCTTTCCCACCTTTTTCGCCGTCCACACTCTTAATTCTGCTTTCATCAAGAGAAGATACATCGGCTGGTTGATTGGGTTCCCGAAGGCTTTCACCAGCCCGCATTATTTCACCTCTTCTATTGCCGAGAAAAGAAGCCTGTTTTCTATATTTTCAGTATTTTTGTGTGTGTTGAAGTCTCTGTGGCAGTTTGTTTGGTTTTCGATGGGAGGAGGTAGAGTCGCTAGCCCCAAACCCAACCCTCCCTCTTTTCCTAGGCCTGAGACCACCTAGAAACTAGTAAACTAGGTGAAGAGAAAATGGAGATAGATTGGGCATACGCTGAGGAAACCGTCGAATGACATCAGGCGCCAGGCATAACTTCGAGTGGAACCCGAATCGGAAACGACGAGTTGGACATTAGTCCGAAGGTGATGTGGAGAAGATCGTGTGAGGTGATGAGACACTTTGGGCAATCGTGGATTCAACTGAAGAGAACCACAGAGAATAGGACAGAGTGGAGATATGTTGTTGAAGCCCTATGTTGCACTCGGAACCCAAAAAGGGAACAATAACATGATGATAATAATAATATTATACCACCTAACATGGGAGACAGAACGCGAACACTCATTTAAAAAAAGCGTCTTCCTATCTTACACTTTCAATAGCCACACGTTTCATAGTGATGAAGGGGACTAAATCTAACTGCTGAGCACTATATGAATCGAAAACATTTATTTTCCGATACGAATTTAAAACAAGCAATAAAGGTTAATAAAGCAGGATTTAATGAATTCATCAAATTTCGGTAGAACTCGTCAGCTGAATACTCTACATACACGGATACACATGTATACTTTTGAAATTACATTGGGAGATATAAGACTGATAAGTAAACAAACTACATTGAATTAGTCATGCAGAAACACGGGTTCGAATGTTTTCCAAATCATGTTCAAGTAGATAAGGGGAGAGAGAGTATGAGAGATCAAAATTAAGATAAATTGCACTACGCTTCAATTACATCACTTAGATAAACAATTAGTCATTAGGGAATATAACGAGAATTGCAAACAGACTAATATCAATAGTAATAGTTATAATAACAATTTTAATAGTGTTGAAGTGAGTTAAGATAATCTTACTGATAAAGCATAGATTTAAATGAATCAAGAATAATAATAATAAGAGGTAGAATAATAGTAATAATAAGTAAAACGTATTACCATGATAGATTCAGAGTGACGACCATCTCCTTTTGTATACAGAGAGCTGGTTTATAAATTCGAATTGCACAAGCCTCTGCAATTGCAAGCATCTTCTTGTTTCTTTGTTTGCTGACAATGGTGAATGACTTGACGGCGTCGATATCATGTCCGTAATCCACAAGATGTTTTGTTATTGAGGATTTTGGCACTTTGCACTCAGCTGTTTTCAACCATTTTGGCAAATGCTCCATCATGCGAGTAGACAATCGCCTTTCCGTACGACCTATGTATTTGCTGCCACAAACACACTCAAATTGATATATGCAGTTTGAAGTGTCGAGGATTGGCGACTGGTCTTTCTCGGATTGTTGAAGCACTCGCTTGGTGGTGTTAAGGATAACAAGTTTTGCAGCATAATAAGTTCTCTTGATGGGTTTGTCGAGTCTTCGTTTCACTACTTCCTGTACGTCATCTCCTTTGAATGGCAAAATGATATAGACAGGTTTCTTTGGAACTGTCTGAATTGTTTTGCAAGGGGTAGTTTCTTTAGAGTATTTATTAATGAACTTCTCAGGATATCCATTTGTACATAAAATATCCTTCAGAGATTTTATTTCATGTTCAATAGTACTGTCAGAACAAATTTTTCGTGCTCTATTGAACAGTGTTCTGACTAGGTTCTTTTTATACTGGATTGGAACAAAGCTCTTGAAATGCATGTACTGTCCTGTCCATGAAGACTTTCTAAATATGGATCTTTCGATTGTGCCATCATTCATTTTGGCTAGAAAAACGTCTAGGAATTTAATAGTATCGTTTTCCTCGTGTTCTACTGTGATGAGATTTGGATGGCATGAGTTGAATTTTGTTAACATGTCTTCCGCTTTTGATCTGCTTTCGCAGACAATAAAAATGTCATCAACATATCTTAGGTATACATCTATTTCTTGTATATGTTGCTGCAAGGTACTGGTTTCTAGGCGTGACAAGAACAAGTCTGCGAAAAGTGGTCCCAAAGGGCTTCCCATTGCGACACCATCAACTTGACGGAACAGACGCCCGCTGAATTGGAATTGGACATTTTTAGTACATAAAAGTAGTAATTTCCTCAATTCCGATGTTAGAATGGGTATGTCTTCAGCTTCTTTACATATGAAGTCGATAGTCTCAACGACTGGCACATTTGCGAAAAGAGAGGTAACATCGAAAGAGACCAAATGCTTATCAGATACATTGAGACCTTTAATTTGATTGACAAATTGAAATGAATCAGAGACTATATATGCTCCGAAACGTTTCAGCAAGGGCTGATGAATTCATTAAATCCTGCTTTATTAACCTTTATAGCTTGTTTTAAACTATATGAATCGTTTGATCAATGGCTGAATATATCACGTGTACATCACAGATTATGTAAGTCGCTTTACAGGCCTTTTGAATCTGTGGTTAACACTTTGGTGTTTGCAACTACGATAGATGCAGAGGTTCAAGTATCAGTGAAAACATCATAACTCACTCACTCACTCGGAATGAAGATATACATTTAGCTGACGAGCCTCAAATCAGCTAAAATGGATTCAGGATTTCATCATGAGTAGGCATCAGTTAAAGAACGATTGAAAACCAGTACTGGAGACCTGTCTCATCAATATAGTTTGGGACTCTTCATCAGTACGCACCCACCCACACTAACGGAGATCGAACCTAGGACGTTCTGGCTACAAGGTGAACTTGTAGGTCATTCTCAGCCGCTGGGATCCACCTCAAAGACCAGGTTTTGAATTCCAACTTCTGTCAAATGGATTCAGCTGCCAATCACCATTAACCGGTTAACAATGCTTTATTAGACTTAATTTTATGCGCAATCTCATATTGAATTGAATTTTTGATTTTCCCGTCGATTGATTGGACCGAAGTGCTCGGTCTCAGTTCAATAAAAAATTCAATTCAATAATTAATATGACCCGTTGCACAAGAGGTGGCTCTCGTGGCCCAAGTGGTCTAGTGGATAACGCTTTGGCGTTTGAAACTATGGGTACTGGGTTCGAGCCTCGGTGCGAACGTCATCACTCACTGAGAAATGCAGGTACATCCAGCTGACGAGTCCCGAATAGGACGAAATGCGCATCCTGGATTCCACTGCTAGTCACCATCCACCAACTAAATACGCAATCTCATAGTCTGAAAATGGTTAACAGTTAAATTTAAGCCTGGTAAAAAGAATAAAATGAACCAACAAACCTCCATAATTGTCGAATAACGTCAACAACTCCATTATACTGTCTATGCTGATCTTGCATTCTTGACCGAATCACTTGATAAGGATATGTGATCACAGCTGCAATCAATTTAGATGTGGAGGAGAATGTTAAATACTCAATAGCCGACTGAAATGGAATAAACACCAATAAGAAACAACAATTTACACTAGCAAAACAATGAACATTGTGTAATAAAAATTAAACATCAGACGGCTGAAGGTAATCGGCAAGAAGCCTTATCTGGCCTAGATTTTGGGCTAGTTGGCACTTACCAAGTCAGTCAAAAGGCGTATCTCCAATCACTTTGAAGGAACTCAAGACCCTCCTGAGATTCGAACTTGTGGCACCTAGATGAATAGCTCAGTAGTTGCATTTCTGACTGCAGCACTGGATGACATGAGTTGGAATCTGAGAAGAGATATGACTCTCTTTAAGGTGATTGCAGATACACCTTGCTTATGAGTGCTAATCAGCACGAAACCTAGGTCAAGTAAGGCTTCCTGCCTATTGCCTTCAACAATCTAATATTAATAATGCACAGTGAACCATGATAGCAAGCCACCTAGCCTTTTGGTGGCCACATTGCCAACTAGACTGACTGATAGAATTCAATCTGCACCAAAAACAAAGGACTAGACAAATGATACTAGTTACTAACTAATGTCCATCGGAGAAATAAATTTTATATCACATCAAGTGAATCAAAACGAAAAAATCGGATTAACTAACGAGTGTTCAGGTTGATTACGTAATAGGTGATTAGAAAAAAATAAAATAATTCGGACGATTATTATTATTGTATCCTTTAGTTCCTAGAGGAACATAGGGCTTCAGCTGCGCACCTCCATTGCCTTCGGTTTTCTGATAACTTTTTCACCCCGCTCCAGGTCTGTCCACATGTTTTCATCTCCTCTTCACATGACCTCCTCCAAGTCACCCTTGCACTGATGACCAACTCGACGCTTCCCCTTCGGGTTCCACTCGAGCAATGGCTTGTCTAGTGATGTCACTTGATGGTTTCCTCAGCGTATGGCCAATCCATCTCCATTTCTTCCTGCCTATTTGTTTCACAATCGGTTCCTGATTGGTTTGCTCCCAGAGATCCCTGTTGCTGATCTTTTCTGGCCATCTGAGCTTGAGTATCTTTGATGCTTCTTCTGCCAACTTGCTGCTTTTCACTTGCATATCTTCCAGTTTGTGGGAAATCAGACATATATCATCGGCGAAATCCAGATCCTCCAAGTCTTGTGTGTCAGTCCATTTATGCCTGTTCCCTCGTTGGTTGCCGTTGTCTGTCGCATTATCCAATCAATTGTTTGTCCGCTATTTTCCGATTTTGAGGGAGCAACCCAAAAAGTCGCTTTTCTCTAAACTTTAACTTAATGTAATCATTCCTTTATCAGGCGTGAGGCTAGCAACCCCACCCTGTAAACAAAATTGCTAAAGAAACTTCAGTACGATGAACCTCTTTGCACCAAAAGAAAAAGTCTGTGTGGGAACATGGAACGTCCGAACTATGTACGAGACTGGGAAAGCTGCCCAGATCGCCAACGAGATGATTTCGGACGATAGTAACTTGTAAGTAGTCAGAAGAAAAACAAGAAAATAATTTGGACAATTATGATTTTTTAAGAGGCTTAAGGGGAGGGCGAAGTGGTACGGTTTATACATTCAGGTAATGATTGTCAAGCTAAGGAAAGTAGCTGCACACGAACACACAGATTTGGCTTCATCTGTATGTAGAAGATGAACTCGTAAAGCAAAATTAACATTAGTGGGAATGAGATAAGTAACTCTTAGTATTGTATTAACATCAACTTTATGCTCACTATTTACAAGGTGTGCTAAAACAGAGTTACGAATAGATGTTGTTCGTCGTTTCCTTAACTATGCAGGATGATGTCTGAAAATACGATGATCAACCTGCCAAATCGCGAGCCCAATGTATTGGAAGTGCTTTTCGAAGTGTGTGAGTGGTTGTTACTTCCCGGTTGCCCACACCGTGGAAGTTGATTAATTCTTCGGGGACCTCAAACAGAAAGTGTTGCGTGACCGCAGAGCCCAAGGGACAACTGCTTGAGGCCGGTTACACACGGTCTGTATGAACTGGTTTCTAGAATTGGTTCCGTATTAGCAAACCTGCTGCCGGTTACGGACCACCGTAGGGTAAGTCGGTATGTACAATTTTTGGGGTCGATGTTTTCTAACCCCGCCTTTACAGAGTGGAGAGACAGCATAGCTGGCATGCTGGTAATCTGAGAGAAACACCTTACTGCTGTTACACCCCTGTTCCCCCAGTAGTAGGACTTCGCCCTCTGACCCCCAGCATAGTGTAAGAAAGATTAGGAATTAAAGCTCCCATGATGAATCTTTACCTCCGCCATGTTACATTAGACTTTGGAACTGTCATTTTATTCCATCCTGTTGTACAATTGTGTGTAATTGCTTGTAGAACTATCTACCGCTAAACTATTCTCTAGATTTCTTATCTTATTAGTGTCAACCAATGTACATTTTGCTAGGTTTTCGTGTTCCGCTAGTTCTCTTGACCTTATTCTACTACTTTGAACTGTGTATTAGACCTGACAATCATTGCAGATAGGGCATTAGATAAACTAAATTCCTCCACAGGATCAACCCTTTAACCGACAAAGTTTTTTTTTTCTAAGTGAGTTTGTGGGTGGGTTGAATGCCACTTTTATTCCTGCCTGTATTGTTAATAATTCTCCATAAGGTTTTCGAGGCTCCTTCTTTGCGCATAGAAGTACTACTGATGATTTAAATTCCTTGGTATTGTCATCACTCTGTGCATGTTTGTCATACATGTTGTCATAAATTATTCGGATTTGAAATATCAAACTTTTGTAGAATTCATCACATCACTTTAGGGGGTGTGTTTTTAGAAACGGTACCTATCCGGTTGATTTATGAGGGTCTTCACCGAATGAATAAGTTGGACAATTCAATGTTAATTAGACCATTTGTTTTTCATTAGATGAGTACAATTTTAACTCTATGTAAACAACTCCCAACTATTTATAGCGTTATCATTTAAACTGAAAGGGGGAAAACACTAAATTTCAAGTATAACCATTCTCTTAACTTCACCATAGATTACTTTGGACTTCCCGGACGATTTATGCATAATGTCGCATAAAATCGAAGACTTGCCGATAAAAACCAACACCAAGTTGGCGGAGGAATTAAGCAGTGAAGGACAGGACTTCAAGTGAGCATAGATAAAAGATGGAGGTGATGAAAATACCCATAAGAACCAATAACAACAACAACTAGAAACAACAATCACTATCAATGGGAGAAATTTAAAAGAAGTTACTTCGTTCACTTAACCGGCCAGGCAACATCGTTTCTACTACAAGTAGATAGAACGAATGAGAATGTCAAAGCCAGCCATGGTCAGGAAGGTAACGCAGACTTTCCTTACTCTGAGATCAGATTGGAAATCTTCTGTACACCACAGCACAAACAACACCAGTGTTAAGTCAGTCACTCAGTTCCTCTATGTCAGTCAGAAACTTAGCCAGCGTGTCATGAAAATCATTTATAACAGGCTACTGCAAACCTCCATCAACTAGCTGCCCACTTCTCTCGCTGCATACACTGGAGACCAAATGACCAGAAGGAATTAGGAATTTAAAAAAAAACTTTACGAAGGAAGAAATAGGACAACTTTGTCACACACACACACACATACCTTTCATTAGTCTGTGTAGAGGTTAACAGCACTCAGCATGAAAAATAAGATCCGGATTTTCAACTCCAATGTGAAGTCAGTCAGTGCTACTCACTATACGGATCAGAGACTTGCGCGTCATGAAGAGCACTTCAAACAAACCATACACCTTCATCAACAGCTGTCTTCGCTCAATACCACTCAAGATCATAAGGCCTGCAACAGGGATCTCTGGGAGCGAACCAACCCAGCAGGAACCGATTGTACGAAAAACGGACAGGAAGAAATGAAAGTGGATTGGCCATACTCTGAGGAAACCATCAAGTAACATCACTAGACAAGCCGTCGCTCGAGTGGAACCCGAAAGGGAAGCGTCGAGTTGGTCGTCACTGAGAGGGTGACTTGGAGGAGGTGATGTGAAGAGGAGATGAAAACATGTGGGCAGACTTGGAGCCAGGTGAAAACTCTAGCAGAGAACCGAAGGTAATGGAGATGTCCGACTGAAGCCCCATGTTCCTCTAGGAACTAAAGAAACAATAATAATAATAATGTCACATACATACGTACACCCACACTTACCAACTTTTCATTCACTGGTCTATTGTAATGGTATTTATTATAGGCGTTTTTAAAATGTTCATAGAACATAAACTGTATCGCTCCATGACTAACACCAAACAGACTAGGTAGATAACCACGATACAAGCCAAGAAAACCTTCATTTATCCATAAATTACGTAATGCACTCCAAGTAGATTTTGGTATTGACTGAGTCGAGTGAACTGTTGTCGAGGATTTATGCATTGACTTTATCGCTTCTTCATACTGTAAACACTGTCTTGTTTTAATAACCCAAATTGGATTGACGATGGATACTGTTATGGCGCCTAGACAGATATAGAGAGAGGGAGAGACGCATAAAAGAGATAAAATCACCTGTGGAAAAAAAAGAGATGAATACGGGGGTGGAAAGTGTAGATGAAATTTAAGTAAGACTGGAAGAAATAACACCACGTTAATCATGAGTTATAATTTTTGATGAAGTGTTCTCTGAGCTGGATGGTTTATTTATGAAGCTCTTATTGCCTTAATAGGTAACATCTTCAATGCAGATATTTCAGCATGAAGTGAGATTTTTTAAACTTTCTCCATGAGTTTATTAGTCATCTCTCCTGGTGACCTAGAACGTCATGATCGATTGTTTTTGTATGTTTTCACAACCTCTCATCTACTTCCATTGGAATTGGTTGTTTCCCTGACGAGAAGTTTAACTTTTTGTGCATAAGATCTCCTTCCTTTATGGATTGGTAAATATTTTCTGTGTCAATGTGCCTGTTAATTGCCGATTCAGATGAATACCAGGCTTCAGAAAGTTCTTTGGCGTTCCTGGTGTTTCCTCTGCCAAATATTTAAATGTTGCCCGATTCCAATACATGTCCGTGGTTACCTGTATGCGCAGTGATATGAGGGAGTGGATATCATGTCTTTTGACGGACAGTATATGTTCTTGGATGTGAAGATGAAAAGGGCGTCCACTTTGGTCAGTGTTGTGTTTTTCGCAATCATTGCAATTTATTTTGTAGATGACTCTGGTTTTATCTTCTTTTGCTGTTGGGTCTTTTGGTTGACACAGAGCTGATTGAAGTGATTTTGGAGACATCCTTTATATATAGTAAGATGATTTCTTTAGTGTTTTCATTGGGAGCATTTGATTTGATTGATTGGTTGGGTTGATTGTAGATGTCCTTTGATGAAGTTCCATAGATTTCCATTCTTTTGGAAGGCGTATATGAGATATTTTTTCTTGGCTCTATTGAATAATGTTTGTTTGTACATTATCGGGTTGTTACTGTTGTGTAATTGAGAATTTGATCTGTGTGAGTTAATCTTCCGTAAACTCGAGTCTCCAATTTTCCTGTGGATTTTCACTTGACCAAAACGCCCAGATATGAAATTTTGTTCTCGGATTCCGCTTCTCTTATGAATTCGAAGTTGAAGTTGAGTCGAAGTTACAGTGCTGCACTCAACTGATAGCTGCTAACCTTGAGATGCTTACTTGATTGGGCTTACATATATAACGCTGCATCCTATAAAACACTGGTTGAGTGGAATATTTCTACAAAACCCACCTATCTACATATCCCCGACCGAAAGCTGCTACCTTGACGTGGTGGTCGGGCTTGAACACCGCAATGATCTATTCAAGCTATACTGGCTGAGACTTATGTCTCTTGAGGTCCTACCATGCCAGGCAGGTTGTTTGGATAGCGGTTAAACAAAAAGCAGCTACCCAATCCAACATCATGTCCAATACAAAATCACAAAATTTCATGCCGGATCGGCCGTGGCCCGGATTAACAACGACCGCGCTTCCTGCTGCCGTGTCACAGGGCAGGAGTGATAAATCTGCTACTGAGACACACCAAACAAAAAGAACAAACAAAAACAGGCCGCGTGTGACCGGCCTCAAGCAGTTGTCCCCTGGGCTCTGCGGTCACGCAACCAACTTCCACGGTGTGGGCAGCCGGGAAGTAACAATCGCCCTCACAATCCGAAATGCACACGAAACCTCTCTATTACTCACTCATCTTTGTCTTCATCTTCATCTCTATCATCTTGCCTTCCTTCCACTGATGCAACTCCTCGACTTGATAGCTCTCCACTTCCTCTCCACTCTGCGTCCACTAAAAACGATGGAAGCCAAAAAACCACCACCGACAGCCTCTTAAAGCCGCGCCACCAATTTCATATAGGAGCTCTTAATGTTAGGACACTTTGCCAAATAGGACAACAAGCATCACTAGCCAAGACCCTGGCATCACGAGCCATTGATGTATGCTGTGTTTCAGAAACACGCATACAAGACCCAAGTGTGGTTATTCACCTAACCCCACCTGGCCAACAGGTTGAATCTGCAAAATTCACCTTGAGGGTGTCAGGAGATGCCACAGCTAGTTCACGAGGATTAGCTGGCGTAGGGATAGCTTTGAGTACTAGGGCAGAAAAGACATTGCTTGACTGGATCCCGGTAGATAGCCGAATGTGTGCTGTCCGCCTGAACGGATCAGTAAGAAGGAGGAAGGACTGCACTACTCGCCGATGCCTTTTCGTAATCTCCGCCTACGCCCCCACTGACTGCAGTTCAGATGAAACGAAGGATGAGTTCTACCAAAAGCTGTCTAGTTTGGTGGAAAGGCTAAACGCTCAGACATAGTCGTTCTAGCTGGTGACTTTAACGCTCAAGTAGGGAAATTGTGTCAATCTGAGAAGGATGTCGGTGGCACCTATGGAGTTCCGTGCCAGCGAACCGACAACGGTGACCGTCTCCTACAGTTCTGCTCTGATAATCATTTGTTTCTTGTAAGCACTAACTTCAAACACAAGGAGAGACACTGTTTGACTTGGAGACCCCCTTCATCAAACCAACGCTGGACACAAATAGACCACATAGCAATAAGCTATCGTTGGCGTGGGTCGGTAGGAGATTGTCGCTCCTTCTGGAACACGTGCGTAGATACCGACCATGCACTGGTCCGCGCTCGGGTGTGCTTACGACTGAACGGACGTAGGAAACAGCTGGCGGTAAAACCATCACGTCCCCAGCTCGATCAGGAAACTAAATCCGTATTTGAGGAAGAACTAGCTAAACACATATCTGTGTTCGACAGCTGTGCTCACCCTGAAGAAGCTTGGAAAAATATCCAGGCAGCCATAGATACAGCTGTAAAAGCTGTGAATAAGGTAAACCCAAAGGTGAGTAAAAACCACTGGATCTCCACCGCCTCATCCGAACTGATAGATGCTAGAAGACTTATTCCGGCGAGCTCCGAATTCAATGAGGAGCGAAAGCTGCACAAGAGGAAACTTACGAAAAGTCTCCGCAAGGACCGTGAACAGTGGTGGGCGACAAAAGCCAAAGAGATGGAGAAAGCTTCGAGGATAGGCAACACCAGGCAACTCTTTGGACTCATCAGGGAAACGGGTGGGAGAAGACAAATCATCAGTGAGACAATCTCGGAAAAAAATGGCACTATAATTAGCTCCCAGGATAGACGACTGGATCGTTGGAAAGAGCATTATGAGGAGCAGTTTAATTTGCCCACAGCCACGCTCAACCTTCCGAGCATCCAACACCTCCCTGAATGGGATATAAACACAGGTCCTCCGTCACTAACTGAGGTTACTAAAGCTGTCACCAATCTGAAACTAGGCAAAGCAGCGGGACCTGATGGAATGACTCCAGAGGTATTTAAGTACGGTGGAGACAGCTTACTGTCCGGATTAACTGAGGTACTAGGCAGCGTCTGGGAATCAGAAGAAGTCCCATCGGGTTGGTGTAAGTCACTGATTATCCCCATATACAAGAAGGGAGACAAGTCTTCCTGTGATAATCACAGAGGGATTAGCTTGACTAATATAGTATCTAAAGTCTTAGGCTCAATAATCATGCGTAGACTGAGTGGTGCTCGGGAAGCACAAACACGAGAGAGCCAGGCAGGCTTTAGACCAGGAAGAGGGTGTATTGATCATATCTTCACCCTCCGACAGATTCTAGAACATAGGCATTCCTACCGGCGTCCAACAGTCATTATATTTCTTGACCTAAAGGCAGCATTCGACTCTGTCGATCGGGAAGTTCTCTGGAGATGCTTGGCTGTAAAGGGAATTCCGAGAAAATATATTGCACTGATTAAGGCACTCTACTCGTACTCATACAGCCAGGTGAGGGCTTACGGCGAGCTGTCATCTGAACTGATGACGACCAGTGGTGTCCGTCAAGGATGCCCATTATCTCCTTTTCTATTCAACTTCATCATAGATGTGTTAATGGACTTAACCCTAGGTGACTTCAGCGACTCAGGGATTGACTTGCTACCGGGGAATAATCTCGTTGACTTGGAATATGCAGACGATATAGTCCTTCTAGGCGAAGACGCTGACGAAATGCAGAGTCTTCTAAACACCTTGAGCCGCAATCTACGAATGTTTGGCATGCGATTCGCTCCCGCCAAATGCAAGATGATGTTACAGGACTGGACTACATCGACGCCTAGTTTAAAAATAGGAAGTGAAGTGGTAGAGCACGTTGACCGCTTCACTTATTTGGGAAGTACCATCAGCCCCAACGGGCTGATCTCTGACGAAATCTCAGCACGAATACAAGGGGCTCGTTTCGCATTTGTTAGTTTACGCCGACTCTGGCGTAGACGAGATGTTCGACTATCGACCAAAGGGCGGGTGTACTGCTCATCAGTCCGCTCCGTCCTCCTTTATGGTTGTGAGACCTGGCCACTGAGAGTGGAAGACATGAAAAGACTAGCTGTCTTTGATCATAGGTGCCTGCGTTCTATTTCCCGTGTAAAGTGGCATAATAAGGTGAGCAACATGGAGGTTAGGCGTAGAGTTCTAGGTAAACAGGGGAAATCAATCGACGAAGTCGTGAAGCTACAAAGACTGAGATGGTTAGGACATGTGTTACGTATGCCAAGCCATCGCCTCCCTCGACGAGCAATGTTAGCGGATATAGGGTCAGGCTGGAAAAAAGCTAGCGGCGGTCAAACAAAAACTTGGCATCAGTCAATGAAATCCACAACAGTTGGTCTAAGCCACGTAGGAAGGTGTAGACTTCCAGGCTGGGGTCCTCGGGACGGTAAAAATCTATGGTTGGAAACAATTGGTGACATGGCTCAAAATCGTTCTCAGTGGCGCAGATGCATCCACTCCCTGTGACTTATGATCTCCAATGAAACTGTTTTGTTTTTCTTTATTACTCCTTTGTCTCACACCTCTGCTCACTGTTTCTATTATGCTTTTCTTGTACTTTCTTCTCTTGCTTCGCGTGCTACACGGAATGTGGCGACTTGAACTTCCGCACATTTGTGCAAAGTTCTATGTCGAAAACAGAGTGAGACTATCTACATATCATAATGGTCATTCAGATGACCATTCGACGGGAAGCAGTTACCCTCTGTTTTTGCCACAGTGAGATGTATTTTCTCAGCATTCCTTTCATAGCCAAGCATTGTCATAGTACCCCTGGGTCGACAGAATCGAATGCCGCTTTCAGGTGAAAAAATAAGACGATTGTCGGATGCCAGTTAGTATGCCCATGTTCTACAATCTGTCGAAGGGTGAAGATATGATCAATACACCCCCTTCCTGGTCTAAAGGCTGCCTGTTTCTATCATGTTTGTGCCTCCCGCCCACCACTCAGTCTACGCATGATTATTGAGCCTAAGACTTTAGATACTATATTAGTCAAGCTAATCCCTCTGTGATTATCACAGGAAGACTTGTCTCCCTTCTTGTATATGGGGATAATCAGTGACTTACACCAACCCGACGGGACTTCCTCTCATTCTCAGACGCCGCCTAGTACCTCAGTTAATGCAGACAGTAGACTGTCTCCACCGTCCTTAAACACCTCTGGAGTCATTCCATCGGGTCCTGCTGTCTTGCCTCGTTTTAGACTAGTGGTAGCCTTAGAAACCTCAGTTAGGGACGGAGGACCTGTGTTTATATCCCATCCAGGGAGGTGTTGGATGCTCGGAAGGTTGAGTGTGGCTGTAGGCCAATTAAATTGCTCCTCAAAGTGTTCCTTCCAGCGTTTCAGTCGTCTATCCTGAGAGCTAATTATGGTGCCACTTTTCTCCGAGATTGTTTCACTTATCATCCGCCTTTTACCACCTGTTTCGCTGATAAGTCTAAGTAGTTGTCTGGTGTTACCTATCGCCAACGCCTTTTCCATCTTCGCTTTTGTCGCCCACCACTATTCATGGTCGTTGCAAACACTTCTTGTCAGTTTGCGTTTCAGTAGCTTTCGAAGCTCGCCTAAATCAGTTTCCTTGCGTCAGTCAGTTCGGATGAGATGGTAGAGATCCAATGGCTCTTACTAACTTTAGGTTTCGGGTTATTAACAGTTTTTACAGCTGTTTGCAGTCAAATGTATTTTGTGTCAGGCTTCCTCAGAAGGAATCTTACTGTCGACCTCAAATACTCGTTTCGCTATTTCAGTGACTCAGTGTCTTGATCTAGTTAGGGGCGAATTAAGTGGTCTTGAACCACGTGATTATTTCCACCCCCTCGTCCCATACCTAAAACTGACAGTTCTTGCTGACTGAAATAATAATCGGTACACTTTCGATGCAAAAAAACCATCCAATAGTTTGGAGCCAGCCAACGATAAGGAAACTAATTGAAAAGGAATGCATATCACTTGGCTCAATGTTTTTGTTTTTCTAAATGCGTAAATTGGAAATTGTTTTATTTCTCTGCGTTCTGAGTGGAACATACGGCTTCATTCAGGCTTTGAACTTTGAAGTTTTAGTAGCAGTGGTATGATTCCCTTTTTACGGGGAGAGGTTGCAAGCCTCATGCCACCTAACCCACCGTATTTACCGGGAGGCAAAAATGTACGTCGGCCGGGAATCGGACTCCGGACCAAGTGGTTGGTGAGCATTCCCATTGCTGAATCACTGACGCTCCAATGTAAGATACACTACAGATAACCCGCCAACTGTGCTGATATGTCTGACTGGGTTAAGCATTCTCTTCCATCTTTCATGCTTTGGATTCAGAAATTGAAAACCTGCCTATTTCAATCAAACTGGGTAAATGCGTATGACAACAAACCCCAACAGTCTAGATGCAGTTATTAGCTCAGTAGTATATTGGGAAAAAAACTATTAAAGGTGATTGAATGGTTGCATAACTAACCTGATACAGCAGCATAGGTCAAATATTGAATAGTTGTAAGTGCTTTAGATTCTTCACCATGTTGAGCAAACCTTTTCATGCCTTCATAACTGTCAAACATCGAAAAGCCAAATGAAGAAATGAGTGATTGAGTGATCGAAACTCAGTGTGAAAATTACATTTAAACTGAAAGGTGCTCAGCGAAGAGTTACTCTTTTCATCTTTAGAGAGATATCATTCTCAAGATGCGCAGTCGTAAACTATCTTAGCAATAAAGGGAATATTTTCGAAGATGTGTCACTAGGTTACAGGTTTTTTTATCATGAGATGACAACATGGTTAGAGAGAACCATTGGAAAACCACCGGGTAGTACCGGACAGCCAGCTATTTCATCAGTCTGGTTTGGTACTCTTCAGAAGTACACACTCATCGCCAGGGTTCAAACACAGGCCCTTCTGATTACAAGTCAAGCTCGCAGACTATCCAGCCAGTGAGACCGAACTCAACGGCGAGCCCATGAATTCTAACTTCTGGCAATTCATGATTTGATGGAGGATTTAATCATGAGCTGACATCAGTTAGAGAACCACTGGAAAACATGTGAGTACTGGACTGCTGTTTCGTCCTAGTTTGGGACTCTTCATCAGTACGCACCCACCACAAGGGTTCGAACCCAGGACCTTCTGGTTACAAGGCGAGCTCGTAGACCATTGAGCCACTGGGACCCGATCCAACGGTCCTTGAATTCTAACTTCTGCCAATTCACGACATAGCGCGACCACTTCGCAATGTCTTCTTCGATGAGTTACTGTCTCATCTTCAACCTGCTGTCAGCTTATGATTAAATCCTCCATGCAATCAAACAAAATCCCTACAAAACCAATACTTGAAAATTCATGATTTCAGCGAAACTACCAGCCAACATCATCGTTCGCGAGCATTTGTCCTCACTCTCGGACTGGTGCTAGACCCCACTGGTCATAACTTCTCAAGAATTGGTAGAAGTGAGAATTCATGGGCGATTGGATCGGGCTTCACTTTTAACCGGAAGGTCACGGGTTGTAACTCCAAAAGTGGGTTCATTTTGCTGAAGAGTCATAAACTAGATAGAAACAGCTGTCTAGTACTCCAGTGCCGGTTTTCAATGGTTCCCTAATTGATATCAAGCCGTGATAAATCTTATATCACAAGTTCTAAGGGTTAAGTCACCTCAAACGGCAATATGTTTGGCGATATTTTGCGACATTTGGACAAAAAGATATACAAATGACTTAACATAGTCTTGCAGAGACACAAAGAGAAGAAGCTATTTATATTTTGTGAAATCAGTAGAAGCAAACAATGTGTTGGAACTAACCAGAACGACACGAAAGTTAAGGTAATAAATACTGACAGACGGGGAGATATTCCGCACTTTAATGGTGGTGTTATGTACTGGTCGAGAATTTAATAGTCCTGACGCAAGAAAGACGGAAATCAGAAGACCACTAGGTTTGCGATGATACTTCTATTTTCCAAACACCAGGAGAATCAATGTCACACAAGTGTGTGAGAGCAAAAATATATGAATGTCCGAACAAGTGTTTGAGCGAATATTCAAAATGAACAAATCAATAGACAGTCTTAACATGATTGGCTAATTATAATAGAATATCGATCCATATATACATAGCAAAATATATCAGACTGTCAAACAAACACACAATTTATATGGATACATATCAGGTGGTATGTGTGGATACATCTTTGGTAATGTGAGCGATTTTTTTACATGGAATTACTAACATCTTAAACCTTGCATACCTCCCTAGTTTATTAGTTTTCTAACCGGTCCTAAGCCCAGGAAAAAAGAAAAGGTCGGGCGCAGTGGGAAAATCAATCAAATCGTTTCAGAAACTTCAAAGTACTTCAACTGAAGCAGAACAGGCCTCAGATAAAATAGACCACAGAAAATTATATTGGATAATTTAGATATCTATCCAGGAAGACATCAACGCAGATGAAGTCAATAAAAGATGGTCAGTAGAACTTAATTACTAAAGAAGAGAGACAAATAAAACAATGTGGCGACTACTCTAAAGGACTCGTGGATCGACACCAGTCCCCAAACAAAAGCCGAATTCTTGAGTACAATAAAACTACTGAATTTCGACAAAACAATAAGAAGACGTAGTTTATCTGAAACGTATAATGTATTGGCGCAACACATTTCGGACATTCTGATCACACACGTACTTGTCATACACAGTTTTTATATAAGGCAAGAAAGCATGAATAATTACAATACAGGTCAGATTGTGTACAGGTCAAGGTCACAAAATAATGGGTAGGGAGACGCAAAAGGTGTGGGTAAGAAAGATAAAGGGAGGAAAAAAGGCAAAGAAAGGGTTTGAAAATATTATGAAGTAAAATTGGACCTTGGTTCTAAGTTGGATTACCAAGGCAGGTTTAAGGTGATAACAAATAACTTTTGGACGCATAAGACAGGTTTAAGTCTTTTAATGGCTAAGGCTTCAATGAATTTAAGTATGTGACCCAACCTTGTCTTATATATCGGCTTAAAGGCATTATTAAAATCAACCTTATGACCCGTCTCTATAATATGCTTCGCTATAGATGATGTTGGACATCTATTTCCCGGGTCAATTGTATCTGGCGATTTCATTTGTTGTTGCAGCCACTTTGGAATGTGTTCTGTAGCCCTAACATGCAGAGACCGATGGGTCCTCCCTATGTACGTGTCTCCACACATACATGTGAATTGATAAACACAGTGGGATGTGACACTATCGTTCGGATAATGTGAGGGTTTACAGGACAGCATAGTTTTCATTTTCTCTATGAAGATAAGTTTAGCTGCATAATAGGTTCTACTAATTGCGGCCTTTAGTCTTTGTCTAGTGACTAGACTTTGTTGATCACCTCTGAACGGCAAGGATATGTAAACATCCTTTTTGGGAACTGATTGGATTGGTAAAGCTGTGTGGTTGACACTTCCATAACGTCTAATAAACCTCAGTGGGTAATTGTTATCTAACAATATTTCAGTGAGATGTTGTCTTTCTTCTTCAATTGTATCGGCGGTACATATACGGTGAACGCGCTTGAACAAACACTTAACCAACGCCTTTTTATACTGTAGTGGACAGAAACTATAGTAATTTAGATACTGTCCAGTCCATGTTGACTTCCTGTAGACAGATCGTTTTATTGACCCATCTTCTCTGCGGGTTATGAGTACATCTAAAAATGGCAGGCATCCATTATTCTCTTTAACATAAGTTAGCGATATACTATTTTGTGCTCTGTTGACCTGGTTTAGGATTTCTATGGCGTCGATCGGTTGATCACAAATCGACGCCATAGAAATCCTAAACCAGGTCAACAGAGCACAAAATAGTATATCGCTAACTTATGTTAAAGAGAATAATGGATGCCTGCCATTTTTAGATGTACTCATAACCCGCAGAGAAGATGGGTCAATAAAACGATCTGTCTACAGGAAGTCAACATGGACTGGACAGTATCTAAATTACTATAGTTTCTGTCCACTACAGTATAAAAAGGCGTTGGTTAAGTGTTTGTTCAAGCGCGTTCACCGTATATGTACCGCCGATACAATTGAAGAAGAAAGACAACATCTCACTGAAATATTGTTAGATAACAATTACCCACTGAGGTTTATTAGACGTTATGGAAGTGTCAACCACACAGCTTTACCAATCCAATCAGTTCCCAAAAAGGATGTTTACATATCCTTGCCGTTCAGAGGTGATCAACAAAGTCTAGTCACTAGACAAAGACTAAAGGCCGCAATTAGTAGAACCTATTATGCAGCTAAACTTATCTTCATAGAGAAAATGAAAACTATGCTGTCCTGTAAACCCTCACATTATCCGAACGATAGTGTCACATCCCACTGTGTTTATCAATTCACATGTATGTGTGGAGACACGTACATAGGGAGGACCCATCGGTCTCTGCATGTTAGGGCTACAGAACACATTCCAAAGTGGCTGCAACAACAAATGAAATCGCCAGATACAATTGACCCGGGAAATAGATGTCCAACATCATCTATAGCGAAGCATATTATAGAGACGGGTCATAAGGTTGATTTTAATAATGCCTTTAAGCCGATATATAAGACAAGGTTGGGTCACATACTTAAATTCATTGAAGCCTTAGCCATTAAAAGACTTAAACCTGTCTTATGCGTCCAAAAGTTATTTGTTATCACCTTAAACCTGCCTTGGTAATCCAACTTAGAACCAAGGACCAATTTTACTTCATAATATTTTCAAACCCTTTCTTTGCCCTTTTTTTCCTCCCTTTATCTTTCTTACCCACACCTTTTGCGTCTCCCTACCCATTATTTTGTGACCTTGACCTGTACACAATCTGACCTGTATTGTAATTATTCATGCTTTCTTGCCTTATATAAAAACTGTGTATGACAAGTACGTGTGTGATCAGAATGTCCGAAATGTGTTGCGCCAATACATTATACGTTTCAGATAAACTACGTCTTCTTATTGTTTTGTCGAAATTCATAAAGGGAACCAATTGCTTTAAAAAACTACTGAAGTCCGAGAAGGCAGAAGGACCAGATGGAGCACTAAAAATGGATCAAGAAACTGCAGCGGATATACTCATGTTGTCATTGTAAAAGGTTTGCAAGGAATAAAATGTACCCAGTGACTAAAAGAAAGCCTAGAGTGTCTTAGACATCTCCAAAAAGTGGGGAGGAATCATACTTTTATCCACGCCAAGCAAATATTAAGTTGTAGTATCCTGGCGATAATAAAGCATGCACTGTTTGCAGAACTCCGCTCAAAATAGCTGGATTCAGGAAAACAAAATCATGTGAGGATAAAATCACAAATCTACGCATCATCATCGAACAAAGTATAGTATGGCAGTCAAACCTCTACCTCACCTTCAGTGAATTTGAAATAACTTTCGTCAGTGTTGGCCGCTAAGTAATTTGGAAACTACTACAACACCATAGAGCTAAGTGAACCAAATCTTTATCGACCTCATTCAACAACTATATGACAGTGGCATGTGTCACGCGATCCACAACAGAAAACTAAGCGAAGCCTTCCAAGTGAAGGCAAGAGTAAAACAAGGCTGATTATTGTCACCGATGGTATTCCTCACTGAGGTCGAATGAAGCATCCGTCAGACTGTGGCTAGTGAGAAGACACGAATACCATGTTGGACTGATAAGAAGACTCTAGAAGATCTGGATTTCGTGGATGATTTGTGTTTAATGTCTCACAGACTCAAAGACTTACAGACGAAAACCAACAAACTGGTTGAAGAAGCAGGCGGCAAACACAGGACTCCAGGTGAACATAGAGAAGACGGAGGTGATCAAGATCAAGATAACCAACCAATAGCAACAGCAACAACAACCAACGCCAATCACCATCAATGGGAGAAATTTGAAAGAGGTTACTTCCTTCACTTATCTGGCCAGGCAGCATCATTTCAACTACGGGCAGATGGAACGGACGAGGATGTCAAAGGCAGCCAGATTCGAAAAGCCAAGATACACCTTCATCAATCTGTAATCAGCGTGGGAATTTTCTGCACTCCACAACATAAAGGACAAGGTTTGGATTTTCAACATCAATGTTAGATCAGTCACTCAGTTCTTCTAGATGGGCTTGGGCTCGGAAACTTGGCTTAGGTGTAAAGAAAAGTATTTCTAACAAGTGACTGCAGACTTCTATGAACAGCTACATTTGCTGGCTCTATACTGGCGATCGAATGGCAGGCCAGAAAGAATTAGCAGTAAGAAACTTTGCAGTGCAACAAACCAACCAAGAGCCGATCGCTCAAAAAATAGGCATGAGAAAATGGAGATGGATTGGGTATACATTGAGGAGGCCATCGAATGACATCGCGCGCCAGGTACATCCTCGAGTTGAATCCCAATGAGAAGTGAAGAGTGGGTCGTCGGTGCGAGGGTGACATGGAGAGATCGTGTGAAGAGGAGACGAGAGACTATGGGCAATCGCGTGGCTAGCCAGTTGAAGAGGACAGCGGAGAATAGAAGAAAGTGGAGACGTGTTGTTGAAGCCCTATGTTCCACTCGGAACCCGAGAGAATAAAAATCACAATAATCTCCAGACTGGAAATCGATCACTATACGACACTAACAATAAGTAATTAGAATCATTGTTGTAGCATGCATATCAACTAGTTTATCATTAATAAGGAAGGAACTTACAGAAAAAAGTATATACCCCAAGAACTACCAGCTCCAATAAGATTTGGCGTTAAACCCAGGTAAAGACCACGAAAACCTCGATATTGGACAATTTCATATAAAGTTTGAAATGCTCGTGTTGTTTTAGGCCTGTAAGTATCAATAAGAAAATAACAAATATCAGTACGGGTAGTAGTCTATAAAGGTGAAAACTAGTCTTAATAAAATGACGATAAAAAAAGCAAAAGAAAGACCAAATTACCAGTATAAGATGATGACATCATTCTATTTCACACGTTCTCATTAGCTACTGCACACTACCTGAAATTACGGTTGCTATAAAAATGACAATAACATGCTTCAATTCGATTGGTGGATGGTGACTGGCAGTGGAATAACGCGTGTTTCGTCCAATTTGGGACCCGTCATCTGGATGTACTTGCATTCCCCAGTTAGTGATAGTGTTCCCACCGGGGCTCGAGCCCAGTGCCCAGTTTCAAATGCCAAAGCATAATCCCTAGACCACTTGGGCCATGAGAGCCACTTCTTGTGCAACGGGTCATATTAATTATTTAATTCAATTTTAGATTTTCCTGTCGATTGATTGGACTGAAGTGCTCGCTTTCAGGTTGATATATCGGCTTCTTGTGCAGATCATATGTTCACATAGCAACCCAAGCAAAACGGATATCCAAAGGAATTTATTCAAAAGTGTAACAAAGAAAAAGACGTGAAAATGGAATACCCAACTGTTGAAAAGAAGGAAGTGCTTATTTGTCTCTTACTCAACGGAGAAGCAGTATCACAAAGAATTCATAAGAGGGTCAAAGAAGCAATAAAAAAGTTACTTCCTGCAGCTAAGCTCGTAACGCTATCCAGCACCATATGCTCTATAAGCCAATCCAGACTGGATGAGTAGCCTGTTGATGTCACCTGCAGTGACATTTATACATCTACATGCACTTCCTGGAGCAATCACATCAGGAGGATAGAAAGAATGGCTTCTATCAGGTGTTTTCTCGACATATCCCAAGCAGATATTCGTAAAGTGCAACTGCTAAACACACCTTGTGGTGCATACGAATCATTTCATCGAGATTTCCAAATCGTTCAAAATACCAACTATACAAAGGACATCAAATTTACTATGACTTTCTGAAGCAGTTGCAATCAAACGTTTAAAACCAAACTTATACAGCATACAGAAAGAGAGTGCAATCAATGTCTCACTCCCTTGGTAACCGCATTTTGATTACATTGATTAGTCATCCATATTAGTTATTTCATCTCACTGGGCAAGTTTCCAATCTTGAGTTGCCATGTAAACCCACAAGCTAACACTGTTTGTTAGAATTTTCTGTTTACTGCCTTCTCCCCCATCACCCGTTTTCCACATCGAAAGCGTATAAATTGATGATCAAATCTTAAACTAGATATTGTAACGTTTTCATTTTGAAAGAGGTGATTTTATAATCTTTTCTCTACTACTATTCAAACAATGAAGTATGTTATTGTCATTTTTATAACGACTGTAATTTCATACAATGTGTAGTACCTAATGAGAACGTGTGAAATAGAATGATGACACCACTTTATACTGCTAATTTAATTTCTCTTTCTTCATTAAAATTCAACGAGAGAACCAAAGTGTGCGTAGGTGGCATAGTGGTTAGAACTCTCGCCGACCATGCACATGGTCCGGGGTTTGAACCCCGGCCGATGCACTCCTTTACCTCGCTAACCCAGAAATCAAGCTGTTAAAAAGGAAGGGTTGGGCATGAGGCTAGCAACCTTATCCTGTTAAGATAAACACTGCTACAGAAACTTTAAGCCTCTAGCTTGAAGCCCTATGTTCTAGTGAGAACGTGAAGAGAACCAGAAGTATCAATAAAATTAGTTATTTCAAACATATGTGGCTGTTGTTTAATTGAATTTTAGATTTTCCCGTCAATTGATTGGACCGAAGTGCTCGGTATCAGATTGACAAGAGGCCAACATTAAAGAAAATCTAAAATTCAATTAAATGAACATTACCCGTTGTACAAGAAGTGGGTTGGCTCTTGTGGCCCAAGTGATCTAGCGGATAACGCCTTGGCGTTTGAAACTATGGGCACTGGGTTCGAGCCTCGGTGGGAACATCATCACTCACTGGGAAATGCAGGTACATCCAGATGAAGAGTCCCAAATGCGCATCCTGGATTTCACTGCTAGTCACCATCCACCAATTAGATGTGGCTGTTGACTTGTAGTAAAAAGACCATCCATACTTACTAGTATGGTTGTGAGACCTGGTCACTGACAGTGGAAGACATGAAAAGACTAGCTGTCTTTGATCATAGGTGCCTGCGTTCTATTTCCCGTGTAAGGTGGCATAATAAGGTGAGCAACATGGAGGTTAGGCGTAGAGTTCTAGGTAAACAGGGGAAATCAATCGATGAAGTCGTGAAGCTACAAAGACTGAGATGGTTAGGACATGTGTTACGTATGCCAAGCCATCGCCTCCCTCGACGAGCAATGTTAGCGGATATAGGGTCAGGCTGGAAAAAAGCTAGCGGCGGTCAAACAAAAACTTGGCATCAGTCAATGAAATCCACAACAGTTGGTCTAAGCCAGCCACGTAGGAAGGTGTAGACTTCCAGGCTGGGGTCCTCGGGACGGTAAAAATCTATGGTTGGAAACAATTGGTGACATGGCTCAAAACCGTTCTCAGTGGCGCAGATGCATCCACTCCCTGTGACTTATGATCTTCAATGAAACTGTTTTGTATTTCTTTATTACTCCTTTGTCTCACACCTCTGCTCACTGTTCTATTATGCTTTTCTTGTACTTTCTTCTCTTGCTTCGCGTGCTACACGGAATGTGGCGACTTGAACTTCCGCACATTTGTGCAAAGTTCTATGTCGAAAACAGACAGACAGACAGTATGGTACTCCGCTTTGTGTGCGTCGGTGGCAGAGTGGTTAGGACTCTCGCCGACCAAGCACATGGTCCGAGGTTCGATTCCCTGCCGGCGCACACCTGATATCTATGGTCGGTCTGCAAAATTTGGGCTACCGATATCCATGCTGAAAATTCCATACTTGTACCAAAAATACAGTGTGGAATCAAGCTGTAATCAAAAATAAAAATAAATAAAAAAATAGTGCCAAAACTATAAATTCCCGGTAGTTAATTATAATGGGGGTAAAGATTCTTTTCTTGAGGTATCTGAAACAGAAAGAGAATTAGTGTTGCGTGATAGAGCCCCTAGGTGATAATTTCTTGAGGCCGCTCACATATACAGCCTGATTGAATTGATTTTTTTTAAAAATTTTCGTATTAGGAACTTAACACTGGCGCTACGGACCACCCTGTAGTAGGGTAAGTCGAGATGTACACTATACTGAAGTCAACCTTTCTAACCACCACTCAGCGTCCCGCCCATCAGAGTGGAGAGGCAGCATTGCTGGCATACCGGTCATCTATCTGAGAGAGAAACATCTAACTGCTGCCACTCATCCCTGTTTCCTAGCAGTACAAATTTGCCCACAGAATCCCATGCATAGTGTAAACATCTAATACACTAAATCGTTAAGTACTTTTAGTGTCATTCGCATTCCTAACACAACCTTAAAGACATAGTAGAACCTGCAGGAAGATGAGTTCTAGCCAGTGTAGCTTGTTGAGTCATAGTGATATGCAAGCAGGGAGCAGCTATCGATCGGTTAAGAATTTTTGGCAGTGATTAAAACGCCTTGATGTGGTGAGCTCATGAGCTTAAAACTTTCCAAGTAAGCTTTATTTGTAAGTCAGTTGATACCTATGAAAACAATTTATCTTTGGATGTGAATTTTAACCTCAGTTTAAAACAAGCAATAAAGGTTAATAAAGCAGGATGATTTAATGAATTCATCAAATCTCGGTAGAACTCGTCAGCTGAATACTCTACATACACGGATACACATGTATACTTTTGAAATTACATTGGGAGATATAAACCGATAAGTAAACAAACTACATTGAATTAGTCATGCAGAAAGACAGGTTCGAATGTTTTCCAGGTCATGTTCAAATAGATAAGGGGAGAGAGAGTATGAGAGATCAAAATGAAGATAAATTGCACTACGCTTCAATCACATCACTTAGATAAACAATTAATCATTAAGGAATATAACGAGAATTGCAAACAGACTAATATCAATAGTAATAGTTATAATAATAATAATAGTGTTGAAGTGAGTTAAGATAGTCTTATTGATAAAGCATAGTTTTAGATGAATCAAGAATAATGATAATAATGATAATGTTAATAATAATAAGAGGTAGAATAATAGTAATAATAAGTAAAACGTATTACCATGATAGATTCAGAGTGACGACCATCTCCTTTTGTATACAGAGTGCTGGTTTATAAATTCGAATTGCACAAGCCTCTGCAATTGCAAGCATCTTCTTGTTTCTTTGTTTGCTGACAATGGTGAATGACTTGACTTGAGATTCATAAGACTGATAATAAACAAGTGTGAGACAAGGCAAAAGAATAATAATATGCAAGAACTATAGTTTGATTGGATGGATATGACAAATCACAGCGTGAATGCATCTGCCCAACCCCATTGAGAACGAGGATTTCGAGCCATATCACCAAATTTCTTCAGCCATCTTTGGTTCTTACCACCTCGATGACATCAACCAGCCAGCTAGCCAGCCTGCCTGCCTGCCAGTCTACACCTCCCCATGTGGCTAGCTTAGACTAACTGACAAGGATTTCATTGACTAATGAAGCATTTTTTTCATCTGATAACCACTATATACTTTCCAAAATTGCTGGTCGATGAATGCGATGGTTAGTCATGCACCACACATGTTGTCCTAACTATCTCAATCGATACAACTAATTGTGAATCTGAATTAAAATCAATAAATAAATACATAAATACGATACAAGACATGATCATCAAAAAAAATTTGTTTATCCCAACCTGCAAGCAACAACACCTGTGCCTTCATTCACTTGCAGCCTAACTTTGGCTAAATCTAATGGATGTAGAATCAATACAGATGTTACTCCACCGGCGACACCAGCTACTAAATTTTGCCATTGAGTTCGGTCCAAAAATCCTGTTATCATAGACCTTGAGTAGTATATGAGTGTATGAGAAAATGATTTATAGTCTACACGATAGTAGGCAATGAAATAATCCCCCAGTGTGTTGTTTTCGATCGTTAAGATAATTCAGAGGCCAGAAATTGTCGACATTTGTGAATTTTGTATTACCTGAAAAATAGCAGGTTAAAGAAGTTGTATCTTTATGGAAAAGAAGTTATGAAATATAGAAAAAAAATCCGCAGTTAGATACTTAGAAAACAGGAAGATTGAGCGAAGAAATATTTACTTTTTAATTAGATCCTCATCTCTGGCTCTACTCTAATATATATAGCATTTCTATTACGATACACATCAGTTTACCAATCAAATGGCGGTATGCTTGTTAACAATAGAGCTAAGTTAATCTGTTCAGACGACTGCCCCGATGAGGAGCTTATTATTAGAGAGTTAATTAGAAAAAATGGTTATCCAGATAAACTCATTGAGAAAAATATGAATTCAGCACCTAGGAGAGCCAATATGGCAACAGTTCCGGAAAAATCAATGTTCATAAAACTGCAGTTCCTCGGTGGAAACATCAGCGAAATAATAACACAACGACTGAAGAATGCAGTTAAAACAGCTTATTATGCAGCAGATGTACGCTGTCTCTTCACAACCCCCTTCCCTGTTCTACGTTCGAGAAATAAGAATGAACTACCTAAATTTGCCTCTTTTGTGTGTATCTACCAGTGTAACTACAACTGCAGAGCCAGCTACGTTGGGCGTACAATTAGGCAGGTTCATCATCGCATCTTTGAACATCATCCAACATGGTTAAGCAAACGACAAACAATATTTATTCGTAGCTCTGTTTTAGTACACCTTGTAGACAGTGAGCATAAAGCTGATGTTAATACGGTATTTAAAAGTGTTTATCACATTCCAACTTATCTTAATTTTAATTTACGTGTTCATCTTCTGCATACACCTGAAGCCACAAAAATCCACCTAAAGAAGCCAAACCTGTGTGCTCAAAAGAAATCGACACAGCCACTTCCCTTACCTTGACCATCGTTACTTGAATGAATAAGCCGGACTACTTCGCACTTCCCCTAAGCCTGTTTTAAAAATTATAATTGTCCAAATTATTTTACCTTTTTTTCTGACTACTTCATCTTTAATTATATGTTATCCTTGTAAAATTAATTTATTCTAACTATTTCTACATTTTAAATGTGTATTTATTTTCTTCGTTTATTATCAACCCATTGACATTTTGACACTGACTAATTGTTGTTAACAAACATGTCGCCACTTGATTGGTAAACTGTTGTGTATCGTAATAGAAATGCTATATATATTAGAGTAGAGCCAGAGATGAGGATCTAATTGAAAAGTAAATATTTCTTTGATCAATCTTTCTGTTTTCTAATATATGAAATGACTCTGTTTAGAACCTAAGGCTGTTTCATCTTCACTAGAGGGAGAAAGGGGAAAGAACAAGGGGGTCAGGGGAAACAAAGACATCTTAAGGGTGATTTCATCTTCAAAAATTACTGTACAATCGGATTTTTTGCGAAGGCATTTAGATCACAAAGGGCATAGGAAAAAATAGAAATAATAGTTTTTGTTGAGCTTCTGGTCCGTTTTTTCTCTATAATCTGCTGAAGTATACTTACCGTGGTTTCATTTCCAACCATACGGGTATATAATCATTACTAACACAGAGAAACTGGAAACCTTGTAGTTAAATCTACACTGGCACAACTTTTGTTCATAAATTGCAGTTATGAACTAGTGAGATACTTTTCTCTAAGGTTTCGTTAAGCCCAATATGTTTTATTTAGCTCTGCTAGTTGGATAGATGGGTGGAATGCGCATCTAAGCAACCTCATTCGGCTATGTGAAAACATTAGACGGTTGAGGGCAATCAGCGGGAAGTCTCGGACATAGGTTTCGTGCCAGTTGACACTCACCAGTAAGCAAGGCGTATCTACAATCTTGAAGGGACTCATGTCCTTTTTGAGACTTGAACCCGTGTAATCCAGTTATTGCTACAGTCAGAGACGTTACTACTGAGCTATTCGGGGCTCGTGATTGACCTCCAGTAGGAATTTATTGAATACTTCTGATAGGACACTAGTTAGCAACCAGTGTGATGTGTCTAGTGCCTTATTTGGTGCAGACTGAATTCTACCAGTCAGCCTAGTTTGCAGTGTGGTAACATGCTGTGTGACTCGCCATCATGATGCACTACACTCTGAATTATTGCTATTAGATAGCTGGAGTCAATCGGTAGGAAGTGTTACAACTAGGTTTCGTGCTGATTGGCACTCGTCAACAAAACAAGTCTGCGACTTTCAGTGAAATCATGTTAGCAGGTGTTTCTAACTAGTGTCCATAAAAACTCAGCAGCCACTTTTTACACCATTTGTACACGGCAGGCCATGATTTTTCAGACTTGCCTGTTTTCCTAATGATACAGAGGTTTGAATAGACGTACACCTTAGTCTTCTTTCTTGTCCCTACTTTCGTGTACTAAGTGAAGTGAAGCAGCCTGAATTGCTACACTTCTGTGCAAAGCTCTGTGTCGAAACCCAGTTAGCCTAAGTTATACGCAGATATATACATCTACCAATCTCAGGCTACCCAGCTGTGTAAACATCGATACATGCGTTAGCCAACTTGGTCCATTATTTGGAAGTCAGGCAAATATAAAAGCTACAGCTCAGTCGGCCAAAATTAGCCCCACTAGTTCAATGACTTCAGTTACCAAAGACTATGATGTGGCAATCTACTTCTCTGTTGAACAGTTTGCCCGCATCTGTCTCTGTCTGTCTGTTTTCGACATAGAACTTTGCACAAATGTGCGGAAGTTCAAGTCGCCACATTCCGTGTAGCACGCGAAGCAAGAGAAGAAAGTACAAGAAAAGCATAATAGAAACAGTGAGCAGAGGTGTGAGACAAAGGAGTAATAAAGAAATACAAAACAGTTTCATTGAAGATCATAAGTCACAGGGAGTGGATGCATCTGCCCGCATATATGTCATTCCCCCTAAACAACACGGAATACAAAATGCCAAAATTGTCATGAACACTTTGACGAGTAATATAACGAAATACACCCTGGCGACAGCAAAGAGAATCTCATTTAACAGCCAGATGTTTCACTACGAAGAAATCTCCTTGATAGAATCAATATGAAGGAAAAGAGGAACACATATCTTCAGGATATTTCTTGTTCATTTTTGTGACTATTTTGCTAAACGCGTCAGCTGGATGTGTAGGGGAAATATCATAAGAAACTTAGACAGCGATAAAGAAGTAGATAATACAACACATCTAGACAGTGTGGAAATGAGATTTTTACGAATGACTTCCTGTAATACATATAGTTATATCAAATTGCAACACCACCATTAACATTCTCCCCGGTGTTAAACTAAAGTCCGCTCTACTCACTTAGTCCATACAAAAAATAAGCAGCGTAAGCTAATTTTTCAAACTACCCACCCAAGCTTACTAGTTCTCACATCGAGTCATGAACTCTTAGAACCGACTCCCAAAAGAAGTGGTGTCTGCAACCTAAACTGATTCAATCAAAAGGGCTTACACAACCACAGAAACCTACTAGAAAACATAGGCGCTAAGCCTTCTATCCTCAACCAATAAATATGAATCTAATTCTAACCTATGCGTAGATAATCCCTTCTCATGGTAAATGAATATTTTATCTACCTACAATGAAACCACTATGTACTGAGATCACACTGGTCGTTCTCAGAAAGAGCACTGGACACTTGATGCGACAAAACTTTAAAAAATAGGATTTGCAGTTGAAATAATGCCTTCACTGTTGAGATAAGACTGAAAAAATTGCCACTACGTCACGAATTAAATCTTTTTGTTATGAATTAATGCTAGTCAGTGCTGAATATAGGCTAAGAGGGTTGAAAAAGGGCTGAGTTCTAGTTTGTGAGCTTAATGAAACCATTTCAGAACAGTCTCAGAATTTATTCAATATAGAATGTTAGAGTTAGTTCAGAATTAGCGAAATTCAACTCGGCATTATATAATATTTGGGCAGTTAGCGGTGACTTCAGTTACACTGCAGAAACTTTCGGACAGACTTCAGGCGCACTGCCGAATCTTGAAGGCAGACTGTGGATAACTGCCCCACGTTCTGTAATGCGCCCGAAGAAAATGTTAGCGGGGGTTGTAACAATAATCACTTCATTCTAAGTTACACTATGAATTCCTGGACCATGAAGTAATGTGATGGAACTTTACGTCTTTTAGGGTGAAACAAGAAGACAGCGACCCAGACCCGTAAGGCTACATGTGAACTGTAAGGACCAAAATAGGCAAAAACGATGGTAGCGTACAGCAAGGTAAGACGCGCTAAAATCTTCGTCCAATTAGGTTTCATCATTTAACCTTTGACATGTCTTTAAAATTCAGATTTTTAAGTAGTGATGGGAGGCAGCTGCACAGAGTATTCCCACTTGTATATTTTTCTTTCAAATGCGACGGCTAAATGCTTGAATACACATGCACTTTGGAGCTGGTGTGTGGAGACCTCAAAAATAAACTTATCCAATTTTGACTACTATGAAAGAAATGAACACATTGTACATTACTTTGTTTTAACCATAAACTCTGTACTTTGAACTTTACCTCCGGTTTTGAATAAATGTATAGTTCTGCCTCCGACTCTCCGTTTTCTCCACCATCCCAAATGCCATCGATCAATTCTAACCACCTGCTTTCTATCTCAAATTTTCGCAGGAACACCGTAGTTTCTTCCTGCGTACTTTGGTTGACCTCCGGCAACGTCACCATTGGAGAATTGGTACTGGAGCAGTCTTCCCGCAGCACCTCTGGAGTCTATTACGTTTATTGTGGCTTTTGGATCTAAGTAAGCCCAAGTAACGAAACTATAATATATTCTTGCCGTAACTAAACTGATTTGGTATTTTATTTTATTTTTGAATTTGGGATACTACACTAACAGAGTAAAAGGTCCACCGCAGGTGATTGGAGAATCAGTTCACTACAGTGATATATTACGTCTTCTATTTAAGAACTGCCCTTATATGTCCTGTAAGGTGTTCCAGTATGATAAGAAGGAAAGGGTGAGAAAAATGAAGTCTATAGTCACCTCTTGAGATTCTGATCATGGTAATAAGACCTTGTGATGAAGAACACATACCATCAGTGTTGCTAACGCTGATTGCTACATCGTTTAGTCTGACTGGTTAGGCTGAATATACACGGCCTGGCAACTGCGTCATTTGAAAGGCCATTATAATATTCAATTGTTCGTACACACACTAATTGGTGAAACATGCATAACTGCTCAACTGCAGTGATCCGGGAACACATTTCGCCCTTTTGGAGATTTGTTAATCGTTATAACTTGAATTTCTAATCCTTCTCTGACTCATACAAAGTGAATGCATTTGGGATCGGGGGACGCCTTACGCATAATAGTGTACCACAACAAAACCCAAGTTAATCAAAGAATTGTCTCTCGATCTTCAATTTTTGTTTTCTGCAGAATAAGAAGAACCGATTCAACCTTTCTGATCATTTCCCCTACGACAAACCAGCTGTACCATGTGTCTTACTACTGAACATTATTTTGCTGTTTATATCATGAATAACCCAGGGTTTATGGGTGTATTTTGAGAGCTTGGATTCATTTCTCTTGTTTACTCTGGGGTAAAGATTTCATAGACTGGTGTTCCTGGGAAAGGTTATATTTATTGCATAATGATTTTTAGTGTCTTGACGGTTTTCCATTGCTTTTATTTCGTAACCCTATTTAGCCCCCAACTCACCTTGCGCATGAACATATGGGATTTTCGCTCCCTACAAGTGATAAACGTTCACCGATATGGCGAATCCATCTTCTATTCACCATGAAAACTTAATGGCTTTCAAATGAGTGTGATTTTAGGGGACCAAAGAGTGGACGCTAGTGAGTTTGTAAGTGTGCCTTTCGGTCGATCGATGTGTTCTATAGACCTGTTTTGAGTGAATTTTTACACTTGTTCAAGGAGCACTGACTTCCATGTCAGTGGGGTGTCACTCACATCTCGTAAACCGTCAATGCCCAGCTCTTGCTACGCTGGGACTCACGCTGTTCTTTGAAGTTTCTCAGAAACGCTTAGTAATAACGGACGCGAAAACCAAAACACCGATTGGCCGCTCGAGAATTCTTTATTGTGACACCAACATATAAAAAATGTTTCCACTGAGGTCTGTGAACAAATATTACAATAATAAATCACGATATTACTTCTGACGGTTTGCTGCTGACTTCTTTCTGAACAGCGACCGATGAGACGATGACTGTCGTATTGATGCCTCCGCGAAAATTGGGGAAGTTGGTTTTGAGCAAACAACCATGAATTGATCGTTCAATCTTCAACTCCATTGACACTCCCCGGCAAAAAAGGGATCCAACCCTTTTTTCCATCACGACCAATACACGTTGACTCGGATGCCATTGCGAGAACCTGGGTCACACGGACAGAGCTGAAATGGAAAACAAACAGAAAAGCCAACACACCACAGGCATACCGACAGCACAATCTCACACATCAATGACGACCTGCGCCTTCCAGTTAAAGGCATCCTCTTGCAACACAATCGCCACTTGCTAGAATGACTCTTGCAGAATGCAACGTGACCATAGCACCACCTCACGATACTCCACGCACATCGTCTTATCTACTCACTACCAATTACCACTGCAATCGCTTGTCACTCATTCTGCCTCAGTTCTAGTAACGGTGACGTATGCGAGCCTCAGTCGTTTACACTCTTTCTCCCCGGCGTGTCGGACCGCAGCTAACAATTATCTCCGTATGCATTTCATTCTCAGCAATAGACTAGCCTCCCCGGCGTATACGACCCATCTGCTGTCTCTAACATCAATCAATTCATTCACGGATGTAGAAGACTCGAAACAACTTCAGAAGTAATCACGACGAAAATTTTAGCAAAATTATGCAATAAAAACAAGGTACGAAAACAACAAGTAAACACAATGAATCCAAAAACACCAATTGATAGGACACACCACACGTATATACAAACAGTACACACAAACTCGCAGATCGTGTCTCGATGGAATTCCTTTGAAGAATCGCAGGACTTACACCAGTACGCCTACAACCCTTCACAGGTTGACGATTGTAAGTTGTGGAATGTCCGGACACAAACAAGATTAACCAACAATTACAATAATTGGAACTCACACAATTATTTAACACAAACATATGTACGATCAATACCTCAAATGTTGTGGATTCTGGCATGACAAACTACCCTTGAAGAACTGTAGGAATTACAGCAGTACGCCTACATTCCTTCTCAGGTTGATAATCCAAGTGGAAGTCGTCCGGACACAAACAGAATTACCAACAGCTAGATGACAGATGATATCAATTCAGTATATACAATATGAACATATATACAAAATCACACACCAAGCACATTGGACTGCTCACTGATGCGCTACCCTTTGAAGAATTGTAGGACTTACAGCAGTACGCCTACAACCCTTCTCAGGTTGACGCCCTAGGTTGGAAAATCGTTGCAGAGTTCATTTGCTGATTTCCTTCTATCAGCTATATCCTCAAATCTGAACGGTAACACACTCATGTCATTGTATCGTAGAATATAGATGACGAACAAACACACGACGTATCTGGTCAACCAAGCGTAGAAACAGAGTAATTTACACCAAAGATAATAGCATTCAAATAGTAACTTGAAACTAGAAATGCCTTTATTCGTGCAAGTCAATTTAACAATTACTCTCTCGTTTACACTTGGCTTATCCTCTCTAAACTGAGCAATATCTTTCGTCTTTTCAAACGCACCAATACTATCATAGTCATTGCACAAGATACTTGAGTTGATGGGCGTCTGTTTCATTGTGGATGACAACACCAACGACGACTGATTGATATCAGTTGATGAAGTTAGCGGTGGATCAAAAGCTGTTGTTGCTCGGCTTTCAGAAATTTGTCTACCTGCAAGACCACCACCACTGCTGTCTTTTACTATTAGCTCAGGTTTAGCAATAGCATCTGATGATAGGTGGACTACATGCTGATCAATCACACTGACAGTCTCACAAGTATGCGTGCCTTCTGCAACTGCATCTGCATTTATTTCTACTTCACGTTATAGTTGTACAGAACCTTTATTTAACTTAGCAGTAGTAGGCATATCCCTCATCTCATCATGATCAACCAAAGACAAATCTGCACTATCATGATCATTATCACAAATATTCAATTTACCATCATCTATCTGGTCGACTTCATCAATTTCAAACTCTTTAATAACAGAAGTAGACAGTTTTGGTTCCTTCTCACAAATCCTAAAAGTCCTTTATAAATTCACTTTGACTAGTAATACCTTGTAAACTTGTAGGGTCAGAACTGCACTGTGAAGCAGTAACTCTATTCTGTGACACTCTATTTGACAATGGCTTACCAGTTGCAACTACAGACTTCTTGACCGCACCGTTATCGTCACACAATTCGGAGTCAGGCCTGGAGTTTACATTTAGCTTATCACTGAACTTGCTCACTGGTTCACAGTTCACTTCTGCATGCACCTCTTGCAAACGTGTAAAACAAAACCGTGTTTGTCTTGCATCTTGTAACTTATCTGTTGAGGATGTACTACGAAACCTGTTACACTCACTAGGTCTATATGCATTACTAGACATCATGGAGCCTTCTTGATATCCACCTCTCTGAGGCCTATTCGTCATCAATGATTGCGTTTTACTCTCAGACTGCTCTATTCTAGGGGTGAGATTCAATATACTGGCAAACTTGCTCATAGATTGATTGACACTATCTTTGACTAGTTTCAGGATATCATCAAACCTTGGCTCGATACCCTCATCCTCCATACGGGAGCTTATCTTCACCCACTTCCTTTGCAGTCGAGTAGGTAGGCGTCTTGCAATTACCTCTAAGACTGAGCTCGAGTTGAGGTTACTCATGCAATTCATAGAAATCAAGGTATTCTTATAAGTCATAAGATTATCTAAAAACTCAGTAAGAACCTGGGAGTCATCTTGAAGTTGACTGCCGTTACCTTTGACAGCTTCGTATACGTTCCTTACAATCATTGAAGGTCTTCCAAACCTTTGACGTAATATGCTCATAGCCTCAGCGTATCCCTCATTAGGGGCCATGAGCTCACAGCACTGTATAGCTCTTGAAGCATCTCCAGTGCAATACCTCATCAAATACATCAATTTCAATTCATCACTTAATAAAATACTACTCAGCATGATCTCAAACTCCTTTACAAATTGTAAATAATCAGCCGGGTTTCCATCGAAACACCGTGGTTCAAATTTAGGGAGTTTGATGTTCCTATTATCCCTGAACGGCGAAACAGTAACATCAATAATGTCATGCTTAACATCAGACACATCGTTACAATTAACAGACAAGTCACCATGACTTACTTTCCTGTTTGCATCCAAGACACTCTGTCCCTTCTTTGACCCAGGCATTG